CTGTCTGTTCCAGGAGCTTTGCAATTTTAAATAGTAACCATTTCGTTATTATATTTGGTGCAAGCGCTTGAAGCTGGAAGGATTTTAAATGAGCTGGAACTTACATCACTACGTCATAATCTTTCCTAATTGAAGTCCGTGCCATTCTCATTTTTCAGATATTCTTGTAACATTTACGAAATAAATAATCAAATTAATCGTATTCATTTGAACATATAAATGTTTGATAAATAGCAAATGTAATTAGTTTCTGATGTTCCGAGCTGGAAATTTGTGTTTCAGATTGATCTGACTCGGTCAGGCTGTTCTGACATAACAGTTGTTTTCTGAAGGGTTGATTGAACCTCATCATCCCAGTACAGCGAGGACACGTTTTAAGGCTCGTGGAGAACAAGGAGAGGAAATGTGTTGGGAACAGAGCATTGCTTTTTTTGTGCATGAATAAGTGTGCATGCGCCTTTTTTTAAAGAGTACAGGTTGATTAACTTGTGACATCTTTGCTTATCTAATGATGACAGAGTATTTTTAATTTTTACACATTTTATTTTTTGTCTTCCCATTTTAGCCATGGGCCACTGACTTTGAGTGGCTGGGCTGGATAAGCTTCTGACAGGCTTTATTAATGAACTATGATACATCATGTATATACATCTCCCACTGATAATGTGGGGAACTAGATAAGGACAGACTGCTCTCTTTAGAATATGTTCTCCAAGAATCGCTTCAATGGACAACACGGAGCAGGTGTTTCCCCTAAAGGAGGCGCAAAGTCAAAAGTTCACCCACCTAAGAAGAGGGCTCCAAACCCAAGGGTAGCACTAGTTATTCGGGGCAAAATACATCGTTTATTGCAAGGATCTGCAGACCACCATGTCCCAGATTCCCACCTCTATTATTCAGGTATTGAGGAAGACGAGGCGAGAGAAACACATGAGAGCAGAAAGGAGCACAGGAGCATATACCCAAAGGTTAGCCCAAGGGCAGAAGCATATTCCCCCACAGTTTCAAACACTAAAACGCATGGTGTAGCATCTGGGCCACCATGTGTAGGAGAGGTGGAACTGAACAGAGAGGGGTGTATAAGAATACCCTGCACTTTGCAGCATAAAAGATGTAGATCACCAGCAAATATTAAACGAATCTCCTTCGAAGAAGGACTTCGGGATGCTCCGGAGCAATTACGGCCACCCCTACACTATGCTCCGGTTGGTCCAGACGTGAATGGCAAGAAGTTTGTATCAACAGCAGGAAGGAATTTTGCCTCACCCCGTATTCGGCCAAAGAGACCTTATTCTACTGGTGACTGTGTTGACTACAATTTTAACAGAGCTCTCCCTGGTACACTGCTAGAAGAGGATGAAGATAAAGAGGAGGAGTCGAGTGCCATCATCGAGCACATTCTAAAAGAGCTGAGGGGAATCAACAAGATCCAGGAGGAAATCTCCGACCTCAGGGATTACCTGACCTCAGTTCGAGGGTCAGTTGAGGAAGTATCATCGTGTGTAGATGCTGTTCTGTTGGAGATTGAGGGCATTCGTTCTAGCAACAAGCCTGGAGCCCATGCAGGTACTTGGTCAGGGGTAGGGTGCAAAGATGGCCCATCCTGCCGCAGGAGGCCTGCAAGTGCGTATGGCAGTTTAGGTAGTGCAGTGCCAAAGTCAGAGTCAAATTGTTTCCCTCAAGTATGCAATGAGCGCCATAGCATACATAGAGAATTACTGCCAGAAGACTCAACAGTTTCCCCAATCGCTGAATCCGTGGATCATCAGGAACTAGAGGAACCAGAGGATACCTCTGAGCATAGCTCTGATATCCCAGTAGGCGCTATAGCAGGAAAACTCAGCTTTGGCTACCTTGATAGGCAGGATGGTCAAGACTGCCTGAGCACCAGCTCTTTGTCTTCTGGTCATAGTTCCAAATCTGAATCAGACATAGAAAGACCATCATCTAGTCATGGAAGAAAGCAAGAGAGGACTCGTGATGGGGAGGAACATTGGACGGATGCTGTACCAACACACAGTGGACCTATGGAATCCGTGTGGCATAGGGAAACAGCTTACACAAGGGAGCATGAAGGTGTGAGCCCTCTTTGCTGTGAAGGAGCTGGGAGCTGGGAACAATACAGTGGTGCGACGGGATATGGTACATCTGGGCAGTGTTCTAATGCAAGCTCAGAACATCTCTCTATACATTCTGGAAAGCATTACAACTCACCCGCCAGCAGTTCTAGCAGAGAGGAATGGCAGCCGCGAAGGAGGCGGCCTCAGAACCAGTCTGGGATTCATGGATCGGCAGATCCCAGTGAAAACTCCACTGTAGCATATGAATGTGCTGCTGATTTGTCCTACCCGCAAAGTTCTGGTTACCACTCAGTCGATGGGCATGATGCTGAAGCAGAGGAATCAGACTTTAGGCATTCAGCTGATCTGAGCTTTACAACAACTTGTCAAGTTGAAACGTATTTAGCGTATGACGAGTCTACAGCAATGACGTGGACCGAGGCATCCTGCGTGACTGACGCCAGTAACCAAAGCTTAGGAAATCAATTCTCTCACCCTGGCAATGCAGATCCCCAAGCTGGGGGTTTCAATGTCAAACGCATAGGTAGAGCAGTACTTGATTTTAGCTCTGCCTTGCGGGGTGCGTTGCGCAAACTTGAAGCACCTGGAGCTGTGAATCCTGAAGAAGAAACAGACTTTGAAATATCAATGCCTTCA